GATAGTATGCCAAATAGTGTGTCAGATAGATTGCTAGATACATTGCCGATAGAATGCCAGAAAATATGCCAGATAGAATGCCAGATAGAATGCCAGATAGAATGCCAGATAAAATGCCAGATAGAATGCCAGAAGATATGCCAGATAGAATGACAGATAGTATGCCAGACAAAATGCCAGATAGTATGCCAGACAGTATGCCAGATAGTATGTCAGATAGATTGCCAGATAGAATGGCAGATTGAATGGCAGATAGTATGCTAGATAGTTTGCCAGATAGAATGCAAGAAGATATGCCAGATAGAATGTCAGGTGAAACACGGGGATTACTTGAAGCAAGATAATTTGTTGGTGCTTTGCTGAATTCGATTTCATCCTTTGTATATTAATGTTTGAAGTTGCTGTGTTCGTGACAGCTTGTTGATTATATTGTGGCGCAAAAAAAGTGCAGCGAGCATGGTTCTGAACCATAATATCCTCACCATGACATTTATACAATAAAATGTATGAATGTCATGGTGGGGATCACTCGAAGTAAAGTAATTGATTTTGACTGATTTGGATTGGGTTATGGTCTTGAAGGTTCTGGTGATAGTGCTTATATGCCGTTGGAAAAGCTCATATAAGCAAACGCCTTTTCACGAGGAGTTAAGTCCTTTGATAAAAATCATTCATTGCAGTGAGTAGCAAAGCTTCGTTGCTGTGCTTCGAAGAAATTGCGATAGATTGCATGACTTCAGAAGATTGTCTGGTAATGGACATGTTTGCTTAAGAAAAGTAAGCATGGCGATGGTCTCTGAGAACGCAGCACAAAATGCCGTGAGAAATAGGAAAGCACCTACAAACAATGAATGTCACTTTGGGACAAGTTTCCATTCATGAATGAAGTAGGAAAAGAACATTGGTGTTGGTTTAGACTGTTTCTATTGACGCGGGTGTCGATCTGCGTTTTCTCTTTGAAGACATTGGCTCCGATTCTTTAGACGATGTCTCCTGCAATGAACGGGCTCGGGGATGCGCTGTCGTTTGTGCTGAGACGTATGGTAAAGCAATATGTGTTCATATTTGTTCTACTACATCCTATTCTGATCTAAGGGTGGTAGAGCGCTCATGTTAAATGCATCAGCTCTGTTCACTGCTTGTTCACCATTCTTGTTCAAAATATTTGCAAGGCTTGTTTGTGTTGGTAGTGGCAGAGAATTTAAAGAGCTCCTAGTGAGAGCTGTTGCGAAGCCCACAGTTGTTCAACAAAGTGCCTGGTCCTAGTGGCCTGTTCGAACATCCTATCTTAGAAAGCTTTGACATTGCAGCTGGGAAATTGCAGTGGCTTGCGCCTGAATCAGATTCATAGGTACCATGAGGGGCAAAGCACATAATATAATTATATAAGTATGTAAAATATACTCTCACGCTTTCTTCTATGGATCATGTGCATTCCAGTATATACGCAGCTGAAAATGTGAATCTGCGTGTATGATCGTGTATGGTGACATCAACTCAAGGTTGTCCTTTTGGGGATTGAAACATCTTTGCACAGCGAGTGGATGTTGGTGAATTCTTGCAGTAGCAGATTCCTGTGGAGAGATACATGAGCAAATTCAGTTCATCCAAAGCCGCCTTCGTACTGCTTGTTTGAGAGATTACTAAATTATATCAAACAATCAGAACGCGCTGGACAATGGAGTCGTCGAGAAGACGTGCCTGCGCTTGTGCTGTCTCCTGGAAGACACTGTGAAAACACTGGAGAATCCATTCGTGAAAAGAGGCGGCCAGCTCTCTGGCTGTCTCTTGTTCCAGCAAGAAATTGGAAAGAGCGGCGTCCTCTCTTTGGCCAGGCCACCAGCGGCTCCAACGGCTCATGGCTCGAAGCACAGCCAGCGCGATCCACAGCGCCCTATACTACATCAAAAATAACTGCGATTGGCAGTGGAGGAATAGCCTGTGGCAACAAATAGGTTTCCCAAGAGGTAACTTGCTGCCTCCAACACATGTGACTCACGTAATAATGTTGAAACAATGTGCTGGGTGATCAGGACTAGACTAATTAGACTAGATATATTGTGGCTCATTGATAGTATCTTCGGTGTGCGCTTGAAAGCGAAACAATTCCATGTCTGCCATACAATTTTTTCTTCATCATCTTCATCATACTTCGTCTTCTCACCCGCCTGTGCCATGAGCAGCGGCCAGCTCTGGGGTGGGCCGTGAACCTGTTTCATTCATTTGGAACCATGAATTTTACCGACAACTCACCATCATCTTGCAGCTCTTTCATGTGCATAGCTGCATAAGTTCATGTCTCTCCAGTGATCACATCTTGTACATCTCTCCTTTCAATGGTGGATTGTGGAACTTGAAGAGCATTCCTCTAGTGATAGTGATTGTGTTGAAACTCACAATCAACTTGACAACTGCCTGCTGGCATTCATTGCACGCATGGCCATGGCCTCAATTAGATGGTAGGGTGAGGGCTGGGTGAGAGTTGATGGTACTAATAAAATTCTAAACTGATCTTGTTTTCCCAGCTCAGCAAGGGCGCGGCAAAAGCTGTTACAAGAGTCCAAAATCTTTCCTGACATGGCCCAAGAAGAATGAGCTTGGGCAAGTGAGCAAGTGAGCACAATTTCACATAAGACCACTGCAGGAAACTTGATAATTGTATACTCCACAGTCTGGAATGCTTTTGTGCCACAGTGAGGTCTTTCGTCCTTGGAGTTCCTCTCGACGCCTTAGAGTCATAGCACCTAGTAGTAAGAATGCTCCTAGTAGCGATGCCAGGAGCCCCTAGTAGCGTCCTTGCTCCTAGTAGCGATGCCCTTTGCTCCTAGTAGCTTCTTGTTCCTAGTAGGAAAAAGGGTCGTCAATTTGCAATGTCTTTGCTTCTGGTGAATGCTGTGTAGCCAGGCGCCACATCTGCCTCTTCACAACCAAGGGTCGTGTTGCTTAGCAGCCTTGTGACCAAGCTCGGTTGATGAAGTCATGCTTTACACATGTTCCAATGTTGATTTTTTTTGAAACATACAATTTGCTATTGAAATAATTAGGTACAGTATTGGAATGTCACATTGAGATGAGCACTGCAGTTGTGAAGGCCCGCTCTTGGAAGCCCAATGCCTCTCGGCCAACGAAGTCTTACATTGTTCCAATCGTAGCACCTCCTAATCTCTTTTTAATATGGCTGCTGGCTTCACTTGTGTGTTTCATGGTGTGCATTCTTACATTGTCATGTATACGTACATACGCATGCTTTGCCACTTTGCCTGACGACTGAACGTCCCCATTGACTCATCTGATCCATGTGGAACAGCAGGGCGTCCCAATTCCTTGGTCGGTTTGTCAAGGCAAAAAAGACAACTTCACCAAGCCTGTCGTTTCCAGAAATACTTGGCTCCGCACGAGCCCTCCACTGGCGAACCCGGCGAAAACTCACCAGGCCCATGTGCTGAAGTGCCTACAACCCACCGCGACGCCGCAACACGCACACACAAACACTTATCCAGGGCCTTCACATTGTGGGCAGTTTGGGTAAAGACCAACCTGGAAGACAGCTGCATTTATCTTGTTTGACTACAGACTTCTGCGTTCACTCAAGCTCTGTTGATGCCTAATTTGTCTGAAAGCTCGAAAGTGTTCAACCTATGAAAGCTCTAATTATATATGTGTAGTCACTTTGGATCATGCAGCTTGTTGCACTCGCCTAAAGCTGTTTTCCATGTCTTGCACAATGCATGTCTGGACCATAGGAATTTGGGGTGTGAGTCAAAAGGACGGCACCTCATAGTCGTATTCCTACTCTACCCCTTTGACAGCGGATCTTGGACTTTCAAGGCTGCAAATCTGTTGTTCAACTTCCATTTCTCTGTTCTTCCTGTAGGTGACTTTCTCAATTTCTCGCAACTTTGTAAGCCTTCTTCAGCACCTTGTACAACACAAACAGTACTGATGTAAGTAGAGCTTTTCTGGAATCCACATCTATATATAATCAGTGTTGGAGTGAAGTGTGAGTGTGTGCGCTCTGTTAGGAGGGTTGATGATGCAAATCTTGCTATGCTTGGTGGCATTTGGATGCTGAACTCGAGACTGTGCATCATTTCTGTTGTCTTGCTTGCATTGGAGGTGCCTGCAATGACATGACACAAAGCATCAACAACGCAAGCTTAACTGGCATTAAGTCTATCTACATTACGAAATTACGCGTTTCTTCAAGGGGCGTTTTGCAAATGCTCGTCAAAAAGAAAGAAAAAAGTGTTTCTACAGGTCAGAGACAAATGCTCATGAGGCAGTTTGTTGAAGTGGAGATGCTTTCGAGCTTGGGACCTGGCCACTTTGCCTCAGAAATAGCACAGGAATGGACGCAAAGGGGGTTCTGTACAGAATTGCACAGCCAAGCAGCACATTTCAAAGCAAAGTCCCTTCAGCTGGCTCTGCAGCTGAGTTCCTCAGTGCAAGGAGAATAAGGTCATGTCAAGCAGGATCGGATGTGGTCATTGTTGCATGTGTTTGTATGTGCGATGGGAATGTGGATCTTCTCGAAGTGATGTGGAATCCTTGGAGCCCTGGCTGTGCCAAAGGTCTTGCTGAATGCAAGACTCCACGGCCAAGTCTGCATTGTAACGGACCTCAAGAGTAGACTGAGGTCTCCAAGCAGAAAGAAAGCAAATGAAACACATTCATTGTCTCGCGGCGGTTTTGTTGATAAGCCTCCCACGAGTGTGCACTTACTAGCATTTCATGGGACATAGCTAAAGCAAAGCGGTGTTGAAAGCACAAATGGTCTTCGATGATCGCGATCTCTAAGGGGAGCACTACGACGTAAGTTGGCGACGATCCAAGCACCATGTACTGTTTGACTGTATGTGTGGTGCAACTGCAAAATTCAGCCCCCCACTAAACGCTGCTCGGCCCTTGCTAGCACTGCGACGCCTTCTGACAATGCAGCTTTCACAGTACAATATCACTGCACAATTTGCTCAACATGGTTTTTAAAAAATGTTATAAAAACTTGAAATAGACTGTGAGTCCCCTACTGTATGATACATGATACAAGTGTGGGATGCCTACCCTGGTTAGATTGCCTCACCTGTTTCCGTCGCATGCTGGGAGCGGCTGGCCAGCGAAAACCTTGAGTCGGCTTCATGGAGTTTGCTCTCATAAGCTGTTTCTCCAAGCAAATATGCACCTCATTCAATTATATAAGCAAATGTTCGCTGTTTTTGCCAGTAATGCAGCTTGGAACCCAGGCGCAAGCACAGGCAGCGTCACTATCCGGGCCCACATCTGGCAAAGTGCTGGACAAAGGTCTCATTACCCAACATGAGGCCTCTCTGCGTATTTATACTTGCATGGAAAACATGTGTGTTGGAAAAATGTTTCCCAAAATAGGTTAACCCAGCAGCAGGTTGCAACTCAATTGATTGGGATTGTTGAAGCACTCCAGCTATATATATATATATATAAAGAATGTGTGTGTGTGTGTCAACCCCTGTTCCAAAGGGTGCCGCGTTTCTTTGTCTTTCATTGGTAAAAGCAGGGAGACACAGCATTTCACTGGGACTGTGTCCAACGAAGCTACCAGTGAAATGGGATATCCAGCTTGGCCAGCTGGACGTACCTGCTCGTTCTCTCACAAGCTGTTACCCTACTCTTCCACGGTTTGATTCATGGTCCTTCATGTTTCCACCCCCGAAACCTTGGCTTTTGCAGCTGAGTTGCGCCGCTCGTTCACCACCGCTGAGCTCTGCAGTCACGCACAAACAACTTGTTCAACCTTTCAAGTGAACTGACTTTCTCGCCACGCCGTTCCCTCACCATTTTCGACCTGGGAATTGAGTTAGCAGCAAACCAATGTCAGAGTGTGAACCGCTCAGCCGTCCCACTTGGGTGCTGGGTGTGATCCTCCGCAAGGAGGCGCTGTCATCATTCCGGAATTCGTGTCACTGACTCTTCGTTTCCACCACTCGTTGGATTCTCTTAACTGAGTTCCTTCCACTTTGAATTTACTGCCTTTTGAGCCGCCGGGCTAATACGGTTACCACCTTTTGATTACTGAACCCTTGACCAGGGCATGCTGCTAAGTATTCACATGTCCACGTCATGCTGCTAAGTATTCACAGGCCAGATTCAGTCGACCGTGTCACTCGGACGACTTCGGATTTGTTCGAGGCTTTAGGTTCAGGTAAAGAGCTTTTCAGGTTTCAGATGAAACTGTTGCGCCTTTTTGCGCCCGAGCGGTGGGAGAGTTCGGCACGCGAACGACTAAGTAATCTCTTCTGGTTCTTTTGGTTTTTCTTTCCTGCTGTTGCTTTTCGTTTTCTTGAGGCCTTTCTTTAGGTTTCAGGTACCTTTCAGACGGGTGCGCCGGCCCAAAATCGGCTTTACTTGAATGCCAATGTTGACAAGCCTTCGGGCTTTCTTCCCTCCCTGCCCCAGGCCTCTGTTGCTATCCCACCCGCTATTCGGGCAACGGAAGGAAATCGCACTCAACACACTTGTGCGTTGGTGCCTTTCCTTCCGTTTTCCCCTGTCCTTTTGCTAGCTACCCGAGCGGTCTAAGACAAATGTCCCGCTCGCGAACTACTTTCATTTAACTAAGTGGGCCTCGTCGCTATACCTATCTTTCTTTCTTGCCCTCTTAGTCTGCTCTTGGCTTGTTTTCTTTGTCTGTCTTTCTAAGGCTTTTTAGGTGACTAGTAGTTTTTTTCCGGAACGCCAATATTGGCGTTACGAGTACAAAGCTGTTGCCAACAGACAGAGCGCCGAACGCGGCATTCTGTGTGTGTCAACCCCTGTTCCAAAGGGTGCCGCGTTTCTTTGTCTTTCATTGGTAAAAGCAGGGGGACACAGCACTTCACTGGGACTGTGTCCAACGAAGCTACCAGTGAAATGGGATATCCAGCTTGGCCAGCTGGACGTACCTGCTCGTTCTCTCACAAGCTGTTACCCTACTCTTCCACGGTTTGATTCATGGTCCCTTCATGTTTCCACCCCCGAAACCTTGGTTTTTGCAGCTGAGTTGCGCCGCTCGTTCACCACCGCTGAGCTCTGCAGTCACGCACAAACAACTTGTTCAACCTTTCAAGTGAACTGACTTTCTCGCCATGCCGTTCCCTCACCATTTTCGACCTGGGAATTGAGTTAACAGCAAACCAATGTCAGAGTGTGTTTTTGCGTGCTGCGCAAAAAAGTGTTGTTCCGTAGAAAGAATGAATCATAACGGAGACAGAAAGCACACCACATGCACAAAACTGTGACCCTGCCGTGCTTCATGGTGCATAGAAAGAATGCCGCGGAAAGCTGCACAAGTGCATTAATTTTTGCCGGCATAAAGGCGCTACTGTACTGAGCACGCAGTGGTCCGGCGGGATTGGAATGCATGGACCATGTCTGACAATGTTCTGTATTGCGCGCAGACAACACTCTGCGCTGCAGGCACTAACTACAGCAAAAAAAATACAACGCGTTGCGTTCCTCAGAACTTATACCACACCGAGGCCATCAAGCCGATCTGCGCCGTCAACCTGCCCAATTAGCTCTGCGCAGGTTCTGCGTGGGAGAAAAACGTGTGCGCCACTCAACTGACCTGTCAAGGCCTTTGTCACCGACAGGCAGCTCGGGGAGGGTTTGGCAGAGTCTGAGTACATGATCAGCCCCTTTTCCCGGGAAGAGTACGAATGGTGCCCCAAAAACGTTGCCCCGTCGGCTGCAGGGACTGGAGCCAACAGGGCCGTGAAACACCCAAGGTTCCAAGGCCGATTGCAGCACCTGAGCCAACAGCGCCCAGGTTCCAGGCTGGAAGCCAGATCGCGCAAGTACAATTTGAGCGGACCAAAGCACCCAGGTTCCAGGGTCGAAGTCCAATCACAGCACCTGGCAACAGCCAGGGCCCTGATGTCAATCAAGGTGCCTAATTTCAGGGCTATTCCGATTTTGAGGCGCTGGAGAGAAGCCCCGTACCGCTCCCAGCCCCAGGGATTTAAGCCCAACTAAATCTGCTGTTGGGAATAAATGCTTGAAGTGGGAGGAAACGAAAGGTCCATCACAAGAGACCAAATGACAAGTCTGGACAGAACGTTTCACAATCTGCTGCAGGAGCTGTAGCTTTGCTCCTCCAAAAAGTCAAAAGAGGTGAGCTCCACGCAACAAGGGGGAAGTCCAGCCAGCATAGTTTCTGCAAATATTGGGGTTGGTGTCTAGTCACAGTCATATCTCATCGCCTCTCCCAATGCCTCACCCCGCGGGACAACAAGCACAACCACCTAAGAAGCGCCTTGGGTCTTGCTGTCTTCTTGGCCCTCCTGCTGCTCTTCCTGCTTGTCTTCTGCTTTCGTTCCTTCCTGCTAATCTTGTCTCCCAAACTTGTCTCCACTTGGCAGCACCCAAGGTTCCAAGGTAGAAGCTTCCAAGCTGGCAGGGCCCAGGGTTCCAAGGTTCCAGAATCGAACCTGACAGCACCTAGGGTTCCAAGGTTCAAGGGATCCAACATAACAGCACCCAGGGCCAGTGACAAGCACCACCGGTGACAAACTGACAGGCCCACAGCTGCATTCTGCTGTTGGGAATTGACATCCCATTATCAAGCAGTGCGAACTGCAGTGACATATCATGCTTCTAATAGCTTCTTGTTACTACTAGCAAGGCACTTGT